GGAAGTCAAGGGTTGGGCTTATTGGTTCTCTGTTTAAAATATTTCAAATGTCATGTTAAATTACTGTAGTACAAGTTTTGGTAATTAAAGCTATAGTACAGTGTGCACCTGATCCTGCTTTCTCCCATTATTTTAAATGGGAGTTTTGCTCTAGCAGTGTAAAAGGGCCTTAATGTGGATGCACATTACATATATACTCACTTTGATACCCCTCTGTACTACCAGAGTGGTATAAAAGGACCTTAGTATAATTGTGAAATCTGGCAATAATAGTTTATACACATGGATCATTGTGGTTTTGATCTGTCATTATCCACAAACAGAATTATTCTAGTTCCAACACACTCATTGAATTAATAGGCACAAAACCAGACCTGCACAAAACCCTGATCTCATATCATCTATCTGACATCTCTTCCTGGATGGCTCACTGTAGTGGGGCGGCTGCCCCACTCCCTGAGATTATGGGCTGCACACAGCCAATGGGAGAAGGGCTTACTGGGAGCCAATCAGGGCCCAGGTTGGAGACAGCTAATCAGGGCCCAGCTCAGCCTTATAAGAAGGCTGCTCAGGGAGAGGAGAGTCAGTCTGTCCCAGGCCTTTAAGAGGGGAAGGTCTCTCTCCAAAGCAGAGAGACTAGCACCGCAGACAGCGCAGTGCTGGCCAGGCTCAGGGAGCAAAAGGGAGTTCTAGCCTGAGGCCTGCCAGGCTGCAGGCCCTGAAGAGAAGCCCCTAGTGGGTGCAAGGGGCCGTAGGGGAAGCGGCCCAGGGAAGTGGGCAGACGGAGGGGAGAGAAGGAGGACAGCGAGGCTGCCGCTAGAGGGTCCCTGGGCTGGGACCCAGAGTAGAGGGCGGGCCTGGGTCCTCCCTTCCCCCCTTGCAGTACACCCAGCCATTGACTGTAGGGAGCAGCCATTACAGACCACACCAGATCCCTGACAGGAGGGATTAGACTTTGGGGTGTGTGGTTGACTACAGTGACTGGGACATAGAGACTGCTGATCAACAACCCCCACCTCCCCGGAAGGGGGTGTGGAAGGACTAAGGGGCACTTTTTCTAGTATTATGAGATCACAAATTCCAAAGCTATGAAGCTATAGGCCTCAGGAAAGGGTTGAAGTTTTTGGTAAACAAGGGAATTGTGAACAAAATCATCATAAGAGTCAATCTGCTTCAAGTGCTTAAAGATCTTCAAATCAAAAGTCTGAAATACAGCATTAGTTAGTTAACTATGTTTCAGTGAAAGCTCAGGGCCAGATCCTCAGTTGGTGTTGTAGTAGGAAGAGAGCCTGAGACATAAGCCCTGGTATCTGAGACCTGAGCTAAAGTAATGGTCAAAGTTTTGCTAATATAAAGCAAAGTCAGGCTGTGAACTAGAGGCAGGCCCTGCTCACAGAATTTGTCAAGAACAGGGCTGATATTGCAGAAATATACATTCCCAAGAAATGCTGGGCATAAGAATATATACACAAACACATTCCAGAGGGGTGGTAGCAGAACACCTCGATACCAACACATTCCCCAAAGATAACAGGAACATGTTGACCCATCTTAAAGATAAAGTCAGGATGACAGCATGATGGATAGAGATGTTTTGGTTGAACCAACATGTACAAGGTAATGGGTGGCACTTAGCCACATTGTTTGTACTGATGTATAAAATGGAGTCTCAAAGGGAGTGTCTTTGGCCAGCCAAGGGGGGGAATGGAAAGTTCTGCCATTCCATGAGCTGCGTCCATTGTCATGGGCATACATGTCTTAATATCCCCGTAGAGTCTGGCAGGTGCTATTAACCGTGCTTTGTCGACAATAAACCTGGCTGGCTGCCTTCAGACCTTAACAGATCTTGTGGTTATTGGGTGGTTCATTTGAGGTCTGCTGTGCCAGCTGTCTGCGCAGAGCTGTGATGGCGCGTGCGCCCCCTCCCCCCCATACATCTGACTACAGGTGTAAATAGGTGCAGTTCCATTTTACTTCAGTGCAAAGCACCCAGAAAGCTGCTCTAAAGCTATTTGCACATGGGAATCTTTAGGTGGCAATGTACCTAGCTCTACTCTGCTTGTTTCTAGTTCCCCTCAGCTACCCCTCCCCATTTGATTTCCATTCTATCAGTGGAGGGAGGGGGTAGATTAGGGACTGTAGTGTCTTGGGATAATTCTTCTGTCTAAGGTAAGAATATTCTTTTTGTGGTATGAGAGTATGGTACAGTACTTGTCCAGGTCAAACACGTAACATTGTACTGAGGGGATGAGTAAGAGGGGTATTGCTTCTGCAACTCACAAGCAAGGATTTTTCCATGCAGGGGATATTTTCAGGCAAGACAGGGTGACGAGTTGTCTCTCCAACAGTGTCTGCCCAAAGCTGAATTTTTCTTTGAAAAGTCTGAGCTTAAAAAACTTTTATTTAAAAAAAAATACAAGGAGAATAGAAAATACTCTTCCCCTTGTAAATTTGTGCAATATTTTTTTAAATATTTTCTCTGTAGCTGAAACAGCTAGGAATAAAAGTAGAAATTTGGCTTGGAAATAGCCCTCACTAAGGGCTATTTGATTTGATTTGGCTGAATTAAAAATTTGATTTGATTTGGCCTAATTAGAATGCTTTGAAAAATCACAATACCGTTTCATTTTTATATAGGCCTAGGGACAGCACACTGATGAAACAATTCATACAAGAATACCTTCATGATTTGTAAAAGGCATGAAAACAGCCATTAATTTTTTATTTCAACATGTGTGCAGTTTAGATGATACAAAGCCAAAACTGAAGATGCCTGTAATTATTAAATTGCTCCATTATCTTTGTGGATACCAAAGCTAAGCTGACTGATCTATAATTCCCTGGGTTGTCCGTATTCCCCTTCTTATAGATAGTTACTATATTGTCCCTTTTCTAGTCGTAACCGATGCCTGCTCAATGTGGCACTCTGTCTCCCTCTAGCAGTGGGTAGGCCAGCTAGAGATTGGTGAGTGTGCTACAGCTTTGTCTTTTAGCTCAAGCAGTAGAGGCTCATGCATTAAGTTCAAGAGGTCCCAGGTTTGATCCCTGCTGCTGATGCCCGTGTGGAGGTCAGCGTTACCTAGTTCTTAAAGATAATTGTTAATGATTCCAATCTCTTCAGCCAGTTCCTTAAGTAGTCTAGGATGTGTTTTGTCAGGCCCTGCCATCTTGAAGACATCTACCTTGTCTAAGTAATTCATAACTTCTTTCCCTCTTTTAGCTTTAGCTCCTACCTTTATGCTGATGTTCACGGTGTTAGTTGTCTGATCACTGCTAACCTTTTGGTGAAAACAAACAAAAAAGGCATTTAACACTTCGGTCACTGCTGTGTTTCCTGTTATTGTCTTTCCCTCCTCACTGAGTAATGGGCCTACCTTGGTCTTCTTGTTGCTTTTAATATATTGTAAAGTGTTTTCTTGTTACCCTTTATATTACTAGCTAGTTTAATCTTGTTTTGTGCCTTGGTCTTTCTAATTTTGTCCCTACATGCCTGTGGGCTGTAATATTGTGGTCTAATTTCGGTTGTTGTGTTTAGTGTACAGGTGCTGGGTGGTGTTGGTGACCTGTGATCTACAGGAGGTCAGATTAGATCTGGTGGTCCCTTCTGGCCTTAAACTTTATGACTCCGATTCTGAGTAGTACACCTGGTATGCCTATACATTAGAAATTGAAGTCAATGGAACTACAAACATGCTTAAAGGTAAACGTGCTTAAACACATGCATATATTGGGGGCGTTGGGTTTGTTTTTGGTTTTGTTTGTTTGTTTTTGCGCTGAACTGGGGCCTTGGTCTGTATTCATTAGTTTGTCTAAAACTCAGATTCAAAATTACAGGTCAGAAAATAAGCTAATTATTCAAAACAAAAAGTGTATATATAGATTCAAATCGGCCTATAAGACACAAATGCAGATGACAGGACAAAAATCACCTTTTTCCTACAAATGCATTTCACAAATTGTTAATCCTACTTACTCCATAATGCAAGGCAATGATCACTTAATTACAATGCAATAAATGGCAACAGTACAGTTCAATTTATAGTGACTACAGGATTAACTCCAAAATATGTTCACAGTGCCTTAAAAAAGAGACTATTTTAAGCCAGGCTGACTCTACGGTAAAAGGAGTAGAATAGCATATGTACAGCTCAACTGGAATAGATTGATAAGTGCCAAATTTTCAGCAGGTCTCCAGAAACACCCCCCCACACACACAAAAATCTGTGCATGCAAACCCCAACAGTTGCATATCCTAGTAGGGTAGCTAGGAAGGTTGTGTGAAACTGGTGGAAAAACTCAAGTGAAAATTTCCACCAGTTTATTTTATTCAGTTTTCACACCCAAACTTTGCAAGATTTTGTAGCCTCTCAAAGTTTGGGGTTCTACAAAGATTAATTTGTAAAACCCATTTCAAGCTGGAAATTCTGAGCTTTCGAATTGTTGCACATTTGAGTTTTCTAAAAAGTATCACAGCAGCCATCTGTTATTATTAATTATTATTATTTGCATTATAGTAGCAGGCAAAGGCATCCAACTGAGAAAGGGCTGCATTGTTCTAGGCACTATACATGATAAGAAACAGCCGCTGCCCCCCAAAAGCCGCAGTCTAAATAGACAAGAGACACACAAAAGGAAAGGGGAAATAGAAGCACAAAAAAATTTAGTGATTTGATGAAGGTCACACAGCAGGTTGCTGGCAGCACAAGAATTAAAAGCCAGGTCTCCTGAGTCCCTGTCCAGTGCCCACATACATGGCCTAAATGTATTAATGGGCAATTGAGAGCTCAATCCTGAAAAAACTGTTGGATATAGTGCTTGCTACTATAAGTAGTTCCAATTAAGAGACAAAGAACTGTGTCCACATGTTAACGAAGGGTGGGGAGTTTAAATACAGTGAATGTGTGTAGCAATGTAAATTTCAGTACTTTGATGGGAAAAGTAAAGTGAGATGAAGTGTATGAATTAATAAATGGAACAGAGCAAATACAGACAAAAATTAATTTGAGTGGCAGGAGCTACCTTTGTTTACAAAATACTTTAAACAATGCTGTTACTCAAATATCAACTAAAATAACAACATAAAAGTTAAAATGAGATTACTTTGTTTTCTGAACAGCTCCCCTGGATAAACAGCAAGAAATGTAAAAAGTACTCTTAAAAATAAGGCAGTGAAACTTAATTATTTTTGGCAATTAAATTTTGCTGCTCTGGCAGGTTAATTGCCTGATCCTCACTAAACCTTGGGATCTTCTTAAATTCCTCCTGTTTCTTGAAGAAAAGCTGGGCTAGAATATGATCTGCTGTGGCATGGAAGTAGTCATCCATGTCAAGGGTTTGCAGCTGTCGGAAATAAATTATTTCCATTTGAAATATGGTATTATTAGATCATTTTCTAAGACTATTAACAGCACAGAATATTAAAATACATTGAGTAAAAAGCCACATAGCTCTCATAAACTATCGCACATACAATAAAAAATATCAAACAATAAAAAGCATAGCACTTACAAGGCACTTTTCATCAAAGCTATTAAAATCTTAACTATTTATCGACACACTTTTTTTTTGGACTGGGAACAGAGAAAGTTCTGAGCTATGTGTTTAAGAATGTTTGTGTTCTTTGAAAACCAATAGTTTTTAATGCTAAAAATACACGTAGATTATTGAACCAGAGAGATTGAGTGTGTGAAGTTATGCACTTAAACACACACACACACAATGACTGGTTCATGAGTTGGCAATACTTAAAAGGGTAAATGTCCTATGAGATAAGGAACTAACCTAGAATAGCAGTTGCTTCCACACTCCTTTGCTGGATATCAGGATCACAGGATATGTGTAATCACAGGTCCATGGCGCCACCCATGCTCACCATCAAGCATGTTGGCCTGGTCAATTCTTGTACAGATCCCCTTTCTGTGGTGCACAGGGGCTATAGTGGCCTTTTCAGGCTCATCCACCCACAGCATGACCAGCAGACAAGCTCTCTCCCATGCGCGCGCCACACACACATACACACCAGTACATAGTTTCTCTCCTCTTTTTTCCTCTCCAATGTGGTGCTTTAGTGGTGCCTCATGAAGGCCCTTCACACCAGAAGTGAAGCTCACAGTCAGTGTAGCTGACGGTTACTGGCTGTGTAGCAAAGCATAAGGCAACCAATCATGGAATAAGTCCAATTTATGCTTCCCCTCCCCCCACTTGCTTATAGAATAACTGCCATTATGAATTCTCACCTGGTTGCCCGTGCTGAATGCTAGAATCATAAGCAAATCCTCATCACATGTGCTTTTGATATAATGTTGTGTTCCAATGGGGAAAAATACAACATCTCCAATGCCAATGTCAAAGTCGGTGGTAATTTTAGATGAAACAATAATTCCCACCTAAACAAGAGATGCAGCAATTATTCCTTGCTGTAAAATGTTCAAATATCCAACAGTACATGCCAAGCCCACTCATCATAAGATTAATTAAGAATTACGGCTCCAATTCTGCACTGAGATCTGCTAGTGCAGACCCAATGACGTCAGTGGAGCACCAGACAGGCACAGATATCCACAGGGGAAGATTGTGGCTATTATTATTCAATTTCCCATATGGGGAAAAGGGGTTCATCAGAAGTTTCAACTACTTTGCCTTGGCAGAAAGATTATTAACATTATGAATTTTGGAAATATGTGGGTCAGCTCACATGAAACGCAGGACCCTTAAAAAGAACCTTTAAACCTTTTTGTTTTTCAAAGGGTTGTGACCACTGCTGGACTAAATGTTTGGTACCTTCACCATCTCTTACTTCCCTTCTTTCACATCAGATCCTTTTGTTGTGTTTATCAGCTTCAGTTTAAAGAGGGTGATTTTCGATTATGATCTTATTGTATCTTTGTTTGTTTGTATTATGTCAAAACAGAGCCTCAAGCATCCTGGTAAGTCATGTTAATTAATACTAATCAGAGCAGTAAATGATTATCTGGGCCTTCCTCTTGGCATAAAATCAAGACCACCCCTTTTCCTTTCTATATCTTATTTACATGTGGTGATAGGGACATAGTGAAACATTTTCTAAATCTTGTTGCAACTAACTTCCCCTGCTTAGGACCTGTTCCTCAGCAGTGTTGAATCAACAGGATACCCTCTTATTTTGTCTATTCTCTTTCTAAGACCATAAGAATTCCTACTTGAAGCAGCTTGCTGCATTTTCTCTGAATGCAGAACAATAATGGGCTAAATTTTTCTCTCTGTTGTGGTAGTGCAACTTCTTTTTGACTTGCTAGAGCTCCATCAGCATATCTCAGAGAAAATTTAACCCTAAGAGGAAGGGTGTGGATTTTGGAGTTTTACAGTACAAACGAGAATCAGAATTTTTTCTGAAAACATTCCAATCCTGCAGTCCTAACTCAGACAAAACCCTCATTTAGTTTATGTAACAAATTACCTTTCCACAGCCACTAATGACATAGCCCATCTCGTTAGCATTGAAATGAAAATGAGGTTGCCGTAGTCCATTGCTGTATATCCTGATAGTTGCTAAGGTAAGAGAATTTTCATGCTGGAAGTCAAAATAAGCACAACAGTCAGACAACAGCCCATATGGCAACATCTTAGCTGTGTGTGACAGTGATGATGAACTCACATGCTTTGTAAATGTTACCTTACGTTTCAGCAACGAGAATGCTCTACTGAATATACGTACCATTTGCAGTGACTCACTGAAGATTTTCTCATTGTCATTTAGACCCACTCCATTTTTGCGAAAGCGAGCCCACTGAATTACTCCTCCTGAAAGTTTGAATTCTGTTGAATCTGAATGAATGATGGTTAAATGAGAATTACTAGAAAATATTCCCTTATGTTACTGGTAATTTATTGCCAGAAGATTTGCTTCTAGCTAATGTTGCTTGATTATCGACCAAGATCATGGGTCCTCGCTGGGGACTGAATTTGGGACATCCAGTGCTAAAAGCATAAGCATCTACCTTTAGCTAGTTAATAGATTCCTATCCTTTGGGAAGTAGCCGCCAGTGCAGGATGCATAACACAGACTGATTAGTGGTTTATACTTGCATGGTACCCCACTCTGACACATGCAAGCAGCAGTTGTACAAACAATAAGAAATCTGAAATCAGAATTTCTTCTTGAGTTTAAACTAAAACTAGTAACTAGCAATGTATTCATTGATATTAATGGCAACAGTGAAAGCTTCTTTCCAGCACTCACCCATTAGCTGTTGGCTCAAACTTTTTATCATGAGAAGTATTTGTTCTGATAGCAATAATTTCAGCTGTCCTGAATCCTGCAAGATGCTTTGTCATTAGGAGTAGAGGGTGCGCAGCATCTCCCAGGAAATGCTCAGGACCTTGCAGGATTGAGTGCATGGTGTGTGATCATCATACAGTAGTGGCTGGATCCACTTTATACAAAATATTTTGAAGATGATAAGGTGGTGTTTTCTATACACCTTCCATAGATGGACAACTTTTCACCTTAAACCGGTCAGTCACACTGACAACATTTTCCATGTGCCTGAATCAGACAGGCCCTTATTCACAAATTGATGTTAAAATGCCTGTAGTATTCTACCTTGAGCATACTAAAAGTCCTAGGAAATTGTAATTGTTGCCTTATTTCCTTTAGGTAATTTGGACTTCTTTGTGCCTACAATGGTGTTCTCTATTCATTCCCTGGCACTGGCAGTCTAAGGAGTGCCAACGCATTCTCCAGACAGAGTTGCCTTTGGCTCATTTTGCTCTACCTCCCCTGAGGACAGAGTTCAGCTTTCCCTGGAGTGCACCAGCCAATTCCTCAGGTATATCAGGGACCCATCAAAAGAAGTTTTATTGGCAATATACAAAAAAGAGAAAACTATAAAATAAAAAAATAGTTAAATACACCCACTCCATACTACAGTGAACATCACAGACCGGCACTTTCCTTGAAGTTACAGAAGAAGAGGTTGCTTACCTTGTGCAGTAACTGGGTTTTTCAAGATGTGTGTCACTATGGATGCTTCACTTCAGGTGCTAATGCGCCTCCTGAGCCATTGATATGAGATTTTCCGTTAGCAGTGTCTGTTCGGTCTGCACATGCACCCTATTCCTCCTCATGTCACACACCAAGGCTATACAGGTGAACTGCCCTCAGTTCCTTCTCTATCCGACTGTCGCATGGAAAACAGTCTGAAGCAGAGGGGAAGGAGGGCAGCTGGAGGGACGCTAGACTCAAGGTACCTGTTCCAGGGCCAGAGTCAATGGCGCCGCATGGGTTGTTGGAACCACAGAGTGGCCCGACTTGGGTCGCACTCTACTAGAATCCCTCTGTCCCGCCAACCTTGGTATTGGGGATCAACCTCTATCAGTCTTTTTCTGCTTCTTTCTTGGCACCGATGATCGAGAGCAGTGCTGAGGTTCCCTCACTGAAGCACTATTTTTCAGCACCAGGGATGATGGACAGTGCTGAGTCTCTTGAGAAGCAGGAGAGTCTTTTCTCAGTGCCAAAGAGAAGGAATGGCGCTGAGTCTCCCAAACAGTAGCCAGGGCACTCCTTATGGCGGTTGAACTACCCGGCTCCAAGGGAGGTCAAAGTGCTGCCTCCATGAGGATACGTCTGAGCTAGTCTCTCTACTCTTTTTGGTGCGGTCTTTGGTAAGTCTTTGTAGATCTTACAGCGCTCCCACACGTGAGTTTCCCCCAGACATTTAAGGCAGATGGAATGGGGGTCACTCACAGGCATAAGCTTGTAACAAGAAGCAAACGCTTAAACCTCAGAGACTGAGGCAAGCTCCGGTACTAGGCAGGGATTAACCCAGCTGAGTTAACTATTTACCTAACAACTGAAACTTAATTACTAAGAATAAAACATAACTATATACAATGAGGTTAGAAAATCCACTGAGGAGTGCTTGCGAATGCAAGGGATGAGGCAGTTCCAGTGGCCATCAGGGGCAGTAAGAAGGAACTGAGGGGGCTGCAGGTCAGCGGGACCTTTTATACCTGCTCTATGAGCGTGCGATTCCAGGAGGCAACAGAGCTGAGGCGATGGATATCACTGGGGGGGGGGGGGGGGGGGGGGG